TTGTTGGACGCAGCGAAGGCGCCTCTGGCTTCCCGGATCCCCTGCGTCGCTTCCGATTCATCCCGCTCGCCTCGCTCTGCCCGAGGCTGCAGCCTTCCTGCTCTTCCCACGGCCCCTGGCACTCCGCCCTGCCGCTGCAGCCCCGGGGATTTCTGGAGGGCGTTTTTGGTGGTGGTGGGGGGTCGTCTTATATGCCGGGTCTTATACGCCGGCAAATACGGTACTTCAAATTTCAGTTGTGTCCAATGGTCTAAGATGATCAAGGACTTCCTCTTTAAAGAATTGTGTTTGCACCTATCATAAAGTTGGAATTCATCAAAATTTCATCTTGTAGCAATGAAAAGAATAATGGTGGATGCTTTAATAATCCAGCTGGCTTCTCTTAGAAGTAGAAACACTGACAAATGACTGTCAGCTGATCTGCAATTTATCACACTAAATTTGTTTTTGTCAGAACAACTTGAGCCAAATAAATGTAATATAATTTGCAATTCTGGCTCTGATAGTTTTACACTATTTCCAGAGGAAAAAGACTATTCAAAAATGTTTGAGGGCACCTGGTTCTTAAGCCAATTTTCACTTCTCTAGGTTAGCTTACTAGGCACAGGCAGCGGTGGTATTCAAATTTTTGCACTACTGGTTCTGTGGGCGTGGCTTGGTGAGCATGGTGTGGCATGGCTTGGTGGGTGTGGCAGGGGAAGGATACTGCAAAAATCTCCATTTCTACCCCACTCTTGGGGAAGGATACTGTAAAATCCCCATCCCCCCCCCCACTAAGCTGCTTTCCAGCTCTGTTCTCCTGTGCAGGGCAACAAAAGAAGACCCAGCCAACCAGCTGGGACTGATCAGCTGGGACTTGGGAGGCAGCGAATAGATGGGAGTGGAGCCAACCAGAGGTGGTATTTACCGGTTCTCCAAACTACTCAAAATTTCCACTACCGGTTCAGAACTGGCTGAATACCACCTCTGGGCACAGGGGATGGAAAAGAAAACTAGAGTTGAACAGATGCTTAATTTGCATAAGCTGTTACAAACTACATTTCAGCTTATGAAGTCCAACTTCATCTATCTCCGACTCCTTAAAAGGAACTTGTCTAGTTGAAAGAACTATTTCTGTTCAATAAAATAGCTTCTTGTGTATCATGAGGCTTCATTCTTCATTCTTCATTCTCTCTCTCTCTCTCTCTCTCTCTCTCTCTCTCTCTCTCTCTCACACACACACACACACACACACTCACTCACTCACTCACACACACACACACACACACACACTGTATATTTATACATAGACATATACATACAAAATAAAATATACATAAAATAAAGATGGGTTAAAAATTTGACAATATTTTAGGCTAATCATTTTCTTTCAGCACAACACATCTCTATTGGGAAAATAGGAGGAAGAACTGTTTTCTGCCTTGAGTTATTTATAAAATAAAAGCAGGCCATAAATAAATACTTGCCCAATGAGTAACAATAGTAGAGATATATCTTTAAATTCTCCAGATAACAACGCGTTTACCAGCAGTCTTTGGTTAATGAGTATTCATTCAATGACTGCGTCATGCCCCTGGTGGAGACTGACTCTGAGGGAGAGGAGGAACAGCCGACAGGGTGTGGAAGTGTGGCTCCAGAGGTTATGGAGGAAGCTGGGGAAGGGCAGAGGCCAGCTGAGCAGTCAGAGGAGGACCCAGGCCCATCCCCTCTCCATCCTAGGGCACACAGGGAGGAGAGGATATGGGAGAGACGTAGTCTACTTGGAAGGAGAGCACCTTGATCCTCTTCATGGGCTGCAGCTGTGACATTTGGATAAGAGAATGGACATGCATACTGGCGAGAGCTGGAAACAAAGCATGGAAATATCTCGTTTATGGTTCATCTCTGAGTTTGGCATCCTTCCCGATGTGTGTTCTGTTATCTGTGGATGTCCTCCAGCCCTTATCTTGCCTAGTTTGTGTTGTTTTTTACTCTTTATAATTTAAATGGCATTTTTCTCCTTCTGGTATCTGCCCAGGTGGGAGTTTTTTGTCTCCAGTCAAGGATATTTGGAGCTTGGAAGCAAACTGAAGGAATAAAAGGGGCTTCACCTGTTTTTTTGTGACTGTGTTTATATGTATCCCACCTGGGTCATCACAGACTACTTGAAATTATGACATTGCTGAAGTAATGACACACCTGTTCCTCAAAGTTATGACTGTTGCAGTGTCCCTGTGGTTATATAATCAAAATCTGGCATTTGGCAGCATGCCCAAATTTACAACCACTGGGTATGCTTTAACTCTTCCCACCCACCTATCTTCCTCCCATTTTTGATGCTTTGGGTGCCCTTCATTCTGCCACCTCTGCTGTCTTCACTGCCTTGCACTCTGCCCTAGACCCATGTGCTCTACTGCCTGGGATGCCCTGCACCATCACTGTCCTTCACTCCTTTGCCTGCCATCCTACAGTCTACCTCTCCCCCTCTCCTGTCACTTGCCTCCACCAGCTGACTTCTGCCATCTTCTTCCTATGTCTAACCAGGTATGCCTAGCTTAGCCTTCCACAAGACAGCTGCTAGCTATATGAGGAATGCTGCATGCCACTTTGAGACAGCCACATGTAGCTAGCAGATGCTTTGCAAAGAGCTTGGTGCACCTCAATAGTGGGAAGAAAAAGAGACCAAAGGTGGCATGGATGAAAGGTGGAGTGCAAGGTGATGTGCAGTGGAGTGCAGGACAGTAGGAGTGATGGAACGTAGGGTGGCTAAAAGGGCAGAGGTGGGGCGATTTAGATTCGGGGGGGAACTGAAGCAGAAGCAAGCACAACAAGGTAAAAGAAGAGACGGCAAACACAATAAGGTATGAGGTCCTAACAATGGCACAACTGGCAGGTTCTTAGCTAAACCACAACTGAGAAAACTGAAACTGCTGTTGTAAAACAATGTGATGTTACATATAAAGGACATATTGCTTAGTAACAGAAATTCCAGTCCCAATTACTGAATTTTTCACTCCAAAAGACGCACTCTGCTCCCCAAAAGTGGGTGGAAATGTCTGTGTGTCTTATGGAATGAATATTACATCACAGACCGGGCCGTGGCGGCGGGGTCCTTTTAGAGTGTCAAGCCCCCTTCTGGGGGTTTGCCATACTTGGGGTTGGTGTTGTGGCGGTGACAGGAGGTGAATGGTAGCAGTGATCCCCACCACCTGGAACACTGATCGCCGGTATTCCGGGAGGCTGATCCAACCGCCGAGCAGCTGCTCGATGGTGAAGGCTCCAGCATTCCCTGGCGGAGGCAGAAGACATGGAGGAGGCAATGACAGTGTTTCTGATTGGACAGCCCACTGATAGGTGGGGCTACAGGAGGCCAGGATCCAGCCATCACTCAGCTGACCAGTGGTGGGCACAATGGAATGGAGCCCTGGTGAGCCACGTGCTGGGGCTGCGATAACATGCTGAAGCTGACCAGGCTGTTTGCTGCAAGGAAATTCATCCTTCATGAAAATTCATGCTAGCCAGATGAATACCAGATGATGGTTGAACTGCTAGAGGTGTGGCCAGGTGGAGTGATGTGGACCCCCCTACAAAAGATGCTGGGAGGCAGAGGCTCCCAACGCTGACTTTACACCCAAACTTGGACAGGAGTAACGAGTGCCAAGGCTCCGGCCTGAATAAATGTGGTTTCTGTTACACAGTTCCAGAGTGCCTGTGCTTCTGTTTGTTCCAGGTCTGGGCTTTGGACCTTTGAGATACAGTGTTGGACCCTGCTTCTTCTGTCTTTGTCACTGCCCGCCTCTTCTGTCTCTTTTCTGCAGTACAGGAGTCAATAGACAGAGTTGGCACATGAGAGGACACCTATCTGTGGTCCTCTCAGGCTCCAGTTCAGTTTTTTTTCTCCTCTAAACCTAGATGAATCTTATGGTAAGGTGTGTCTTATGGAGCGAAAAATACGGTAACTTTCTTAAGCAAGGACTATCTGTACATGTAATAGGTTGAACTGGGCAAAGGGCATCTAAAAGAGAAAGACTTGAAGCTCCACTCTATTGCTTTTGCTTGGGTGGGACGGCATTATATGCAATTATATAAAAAGGAGATTTCAAGCATGATAAGTATATGAAGTCCTCAATATGTATTGTTTTGAAAGCTGTTCCACACCATTTTAACTAGTTCTATAGGCTACACACTTGAGACTGTTTTAATCTATTATTAATTAATCCAGTTAAAATTTCTCAGTTTGAAATATTTGCAAGGATTAGTATGTAAGGCTAAATTAACATTGCTGATCTAATTATGACACAAAATTAAGCATTCATTAATAGCGAGAAAGAACATTCCTGCAGTTTAATCATAAGGGTAAACCTCAAAGATTATTTTTATATTTTGATGTATGATACAAATACATTGTATAATTAACAGTTGCTATAAAAATGTTTGCTGAGAGCTTGCCAGTCTCTTAATGGCCCATCATGTCTGTGTAAAAGAAATAAAAGACTTGCAGAAACTAATGAATGCCTTAGCTTGGGGAAAAAAAATGCTATGGTTTTAATCCACTTTGTCAGTTGCTGCTTTGTGTATTAGAACAGTGACAGCACCACATAAAAATGTAAGGAGTTGGTAAGAAACAGACTAAGAACTATGATGTCACCCACTGTAATGGCCATCCATGCTTTTAAGCAGCAGCCACACTTAACAAAACCGTTTACCTCAAGAACGGAGTCTGAGATTCATAGTAATGTTGGAAAAATGTAATTTTGGAACACTTAAAATCAAACATGACTATCACCTTGACAATTATACCAATAAACAATAAATAAAATAAATAATTTTTTTTACAGTAGTGTCTCATCAAATTTACAGTCTGGTCGTTTCTCAGACATAAATAGACAAACCTGGCATATACAAGAGCTATAACCACAAGCTCACTTAAATGAAAAAGCTTTGAAAACCAAAAGTTTCAAACTATATGTAGAATTTAAATTGCATGCAATTTGAGCTGTTTACAATAGACATGGCACTACCTTCATAGCATGAATTTCTTCCAGTAATCTCTGTGCACGTCTGTGATTTTTCAACACTGCATCTTTACTACCCCTAAAAAAGAAAGGCATATACTTCATATTGTATCACATACCTACATATGTGATCACAAACATTTATCTTCTATGCTCCCCACCTTTCTTAAGCCATTTAGGGAAATGCTTTGCTCACAGCATTACCTTTGAAGATCTGAGAAAGCTGCAACCTGTCATGTGTAGTAGTGCTCTGAAAAGCTACCTAATTGGTTTCCAAAGCTCCATCATCTATCAATTAGCATATTATTATTTCACAGACAATAAATTATGTTTAAAACTGTAAGAATGCTTGATGTTATACACTGTGCATAACAATACAGATAGTTCTTGACTTACAATGACAACTGAGTCCAGAATTTGGATCATTAAAAGTCACTAAGATTGTTAAACAGGTCAACATGTGTTATGACTCAATTTTACATTTTTACATGGTTGTAAATCAAGCCACTGCAGGCATTAAGCAAATCCAGTATATTCAATGGACATTTTCTACTATTTTTCAGGATGCTGCAACTGATCATCAATGTGAGCTGATTGCCAGGAGCTTGAAATGTAATCACGTGACTGCACAGGAAGACACGGTAGTCCTAACTTCAAGGATGGGTTGTAAGTAGTTTTAGGTCTATTTTAAGTTGAAATGGTCATTAAGCAACTGATCATAAGACAAGGATCATCTGTATATGATTCATTGATTATATGTGATCAAATTGTTTTCAACTATTAGTAGCCACATAGGTTTTCCTCCATAGTGATCTGTCCCTAACCTGGTCCTTCAGGTTTTCTTGTGATTACTAATGTCAAAAAGACCTAGCTTTTGAAGTAAAATACTTTACACTTGATCATTTGTGTTTTGAATAAGAACTCTGGGTGATTTGTTGAACAATCCTTTGATTGTTTTCTTGGCTGTCTATGCATTCTCAGGATTCTTCTCCAATACCAAACTTCAAAGGCATCAATACTCTTTCTATCCTGTTTCTTCACAATTTAATATATGCTTTTATAGTGTCACTTTCATAGAATACCACAATTCTGATCTCTGTAAGTAAAGACACATCTGGCATCTCAATATTTTCTCCAAGGTCTTTATGGCTACTCTAACAAGTGCTAGTCTGTGGCTTACTTCTTGACTGCTTGTTTATGTTATTGATGATTGAGCCTAAAACTCAGAAGGTATGTATCACTTTAGTAGCTTTAAGGTCAATTCTAAGGTTGATTGTTCTACTATTACATTTAAAATTTTATATTTAAGTTTAGTCCCATTTTTTCACCCTGTTCTTCAACTTTTATTAATAGAACTTGCAGAGGGGTTCTGTATTATTATTAATGCACTACTGCATTGTCCCAGTAGTGTCATCAGCATAGAGCAGATTATTGATATTTCTTTCTCTAATTTTAAAATCATGCTCAATTTTTTTCCAATCCTGCTTTACTTAATATATATTCAGCATACAGGTTGAATAAATAAAAGGATAAAATGCAGCCTATTCTTATTTCTTTACCAACTGGAGTCAGTCTGTTTCACTATGTTCTATTCATAGTATACCTTCCTGGCCTATAGATTTCACCTGCGGACAATGAGATGTTCTGGCGTTCCCATTTTCCTAAGGCTGACAACCTGACATCAACAGCTTAACATCAACACAATCAATGCTTTGTCAGGTTCTTTTTTGCTATTCTTTGGCTTTTTCAATTATTCATTATACATTGGTTATAATGTCTTGTGTTTCTTGTCTTCTCTAAAGCTGTTTTGAAAACCTAGTATTTCTTTTTCCAAGTAGGAATTTAATCTGTGTTGGATTATCCTCTGTGTTTATTTTACTAGCATGCAAATGACAGTGTTTCTCAGGTCTGCACAACTCATAGAGTGGAACTGGCAGATTGATACCTTAAAAAATAATTGCGGGCCACAAATAATAACTGGCATGCCAGTCAGCTGTTTCACAGCAGCAGAAATAGAGCTGGCAATGTCTGTGAGGCCTGGAGGTGCTCTACAGGGTAGAAGTGGTACAAAAGCCAAGGAGATGATGATGTTGGGCTGTAATGAATTGGTTACTTTTCAAAGAACACTGGTGAGCTGCACAAGGCTGGTTGTGGGTAGCATGTGTCTCATGGGCCATATGTTCAGGCCTAGCATATGTATGTGTGTATGTATATTATTCCAAAATATATTATTTCATGCAGGCCTAATATAGCTACATACATGTTTTACCATGAAAGGATGTCTGTTAACACAGTACATTTAATGATTATGTTTAAGTTCTTTTTAAAGTTATGTAATTGTTTATATGTACTTGCTTTGTTAAGTTTTAGGTGCTTCTATGACTTTAAGGACCAATCAATGGTTTTATTTACAATATTATCAAAAGTATCTCCAAATTTAATTGCAACTTTTTATATTCATGGTCCTAATTTAGAATTCACCTGCTTGAATAGAATGTTATTTTTACTGGAAACCTATAAATCTTTTTAAGCACAATGAGATCAGTTAACTGCTAGAGATATACTTCTCAAAAGACACCCATATTCATATGATGGGGAATTCTACTATAATGTCTCCCTTTTAAGAAGAAGTTATTTCAGGTATTAAATTTATTGTGATGCTTGCTAGGCATGTTCTTTTGAATTACATTCCAAGTGTTTGGAAACTAGCAGAGTAATATAAATAAATATTAGTACTTTTACAACTATGAAAATAACTATTTTAAAAACGTGCGGGATGTATTTTCCTTTCCATATTTATGGATAATTTATCTCCAGCAATACTAACTAGAATAAGGGCAGGCAATTAAGTTTCCCAAGGGGACATATGTGAAACTGGGACTATTGTGGAGGGCCAAACCAATAGAGCTGCCATCACTATGGGCCAGAAAGGGATAGCCATGGGCCATAGAATGCTCAGGTTTGGAATAGAAGGATATTTAAAATTTTGGATTGCATATGTAACGAATATAATTTCATTTTGCCTTAATTGTTAATAATTAAAAGTACAACATGACATTTAAATATATGAGTCAAAGTTTTATGGGGACAATTCATCATTTTGCATAAAAAATCAGCTTTTTAAATATATTTGTATTTAAAATGATAAGATCAAACAGTTTAAAGAAATACCTTAAGAGACAAGTGCTAAAAACAAATTTAATTTTCTTCTGCTATTGCAGTATCATCTGCATTAAGAAGAACTAAAGTAGAAAATATTGCAATGTTGAGTGACCTAGCTGAATCTAATCATCATCTTCACATAATATGAAAAGACTCAATAGGTAGAAAAAGATGTCAAATTCAGTCTAAATATCTAGCAAATGTGCAACAAATCATAATAGGCATAAATATTCTTCCTTCTTGATCCTAAAGTAACAATAACTGTTAGAGAGTTAACTTCTCCTTGCTATCTAATTAGAACTGAAGTATTTTCATAAAATGTTTTACTTAAAAAAAGTTTAACTTAGAATCAAAGTAAGAAATGTGAAAACAAGTCAAATGTGGCTTTTAAAGCAATAAAAGCAGCATATATTCTTTTAACTCTCTTCCAACTATATCAGACTCAGACATAATACAGCTGCTCTCTATAGGGAATTGACATTTGTCTAGGTCTGCTTGTTCTAAAATTAATGTATTTTCTGGTCAGTATTAATAGTTTCTGATAAATGCATACCTACTAAAGTAATAGCCTACTATTCTGTAAAGATTATTACACTGTACAATGTTAAAATCAGAGTCTTTTAAAAAAAATAAAATTTAAAAAATACTTAATTTCATGTAAGGTCACTTATGGCCATTACAATTTTTTACATGTTATGCTTTCATACAGACCACTAACCCACTCTGATATATGACTATCAAACTATCATAAAATAGGATTTCAGGTATTATAATTTAAATTTTAAAAGCATACAAAACATGAGGACATGTTTGCCTTGAATTAGCCTTCTTCCACCAATATAACAGCTTACATGGTCAGAAATCAGACACAATTATATTTTCCCATTTATTCTATATAAAAATCATAGAAGTATAAAAAAGAATTAAACTTACTTTTTTCCCTTCAGTTTAGCAATATGCCTTGTTAGTTTTCGAATTGTTAAAACTCTGATTTTCTTCACTTCTTTTCTCATCTTGACAACCTATGAATGAGAAGGGCAGGAAGAGATGTATTATCATCAATATACTTTACACTAAAATACTAGTTTACCACTCCCTAACTTACCAAAATTTTCAAGTAATGTCCTCATTGTAGTTAAAAATTTTCTCCAAAATTGTCAGACAATTAAGGAATAAAGGTAGACCTTGGTTAAGAATGATAACCAGGACTAAAATTTTCATTACTAAGTGATGCAATTATAAAGCAATGTTACATGACTGCATTGCTTAACAATGACAATCCCAGCAAAATTTGGCATGGAAAAATGGGCGATTTTTAAAAAAAATTACACATTACATTTCATAATTTTCTAATGGATGCAATTGTTCCCAAAAGTACCAGAGTTTCAATAGTTAAATCTTGTCCAGCCAACAAAGTTACTATATATGTATATTACAAAGTTGCCCATATCAATATTTAATACTTGATAATAGCTAAGCATGGTAATATAATTCCAGATATGAAAAACCAAAATCCTCCTGCATTAAATAGTAATTAAATTTTCTAGAGTACCACAGAAATGTTCTAAACAAAGGATATATTTTCTGAAGATATTTTCCAGGTATATAAATTTGAATTTCCTCAGAATATAAATTAATTTTATTTTTCATCATTTAATCATCTTTCATCTTTCCCCAAATTTTAATGAGTTTAATGGCTCCCATCCATTAATATCTGAAGAAATCTTTTTATTAATTGTTACTGAATTATATCCTTTGGTACACACATACCTAAATATGTAATAGATCCAGTACAAATAGCTATTCCTTAAATGAATAGGTAACCCATTTTTTACCCATTGGTATCACTTTTGATTTGGACCAACTATAAGAGCATCTTGCTATATTGCTAAATCATCTATCTTTTTCATCAAAACTAAGAGGTATTACTTTAACTTTTATCCTTGATAACCAAACTTTTAAAAAGTTCCCCATATACAATGGATATAAGAAAATTTGAATTAGCAAGGGAATACATAGCTGATTATCTGTTAAGTATACTTTTAGAAAAGAGAAGGTAAACTATTTTAATTTGAAGATGAATGAGTCTACTGAGCCAGCCACCTTGATCTGTTTTCCACAAAGCAACTGAAACACAGGTCTCTATTCCTACATGACTAATTAGTAAATCTCTGAATGACAAAAAGAATATATGGTTCCCATCCCTCTCCACCCCCCCCCCCCCCCCCCCAAAAAAAAGTGGGCAAGGAAGTATAAAATCATGATCTAGAAACTATGAGCAAGCCACTAAAGCTCTGTGCCAAACATCTGTAAAATGCCACTCCAAAAATAAGAATTCTTAGCCATCCTCACAGAGAAAACCCACAATTATACAACTGCAGCAAGTGAAAAAGGCACTAAATTGTGAGGACTCCTATATTTCAGGTACCTGTCTGGAAATGCTGTATTTTAAGGGCATGAGAGTTGTATTCCTCATGCTGTTCAGTTTTCAAAAGGTGAATTAAATATAGGGCAATGGTACCTACCTCAAATAAAATTTGATTTTAAAGAGGAAATAAAACTTATAAAAATTCTTAAGAAGTTAACTGCCTGGTAGAAAGGTAGTTTACATCTTCAAAACCATAAGCCATAAATAAGAAATCTATCCAAGATGACTATTTCACATTAACCGATACTTTGTTAATATAAACAGGAAGACCTGTATTTTAAGAAATCCTCTTACAGAGTGCACATTTAAATAAATTATCCCTGTAATAATAAATACGTCTTTAAATATTATTCCAGATTATGTTTCAGGAAATAAGTTCAAACCAACATAACATCAATAAATAATCATGTAAAAAGGAAACATATTTTTATTTAGAAGCTTTCTTGGCTATTTTAGGTATGGATATGAAAACGGAGTTTATTGATAAAAAGTATCTACAGTTAATTAAATTGGGGTTCTCGTTACAAGATTTTGGCCAGGCTTTAAAAGCTTTCCAACAAGGTTCACATTCTACCAAGTTTTCTATCATATTTTGCCCACTCATCCATGTTTCCCATCATGCTTTAAAACAACCTGGTGGTTCAACTTTTTTTTTAGCCAGACTTAGCCAAATGTCTCCTGACATTGGATTTTGGCATGTAATCAACAGTTAAACAAGTACAGCTCTTTTCCTCACAGAATGTCCATGGCATGAATAGCTGTACCAACTGAATTTCTGCCTAGCATGTAGCTTTTTAAATACTCAAAGTCACCATAAATAAAATTTCAAAACCTTACATCTACAGGAAAGAAGTACATCAACTATAATAATGCACAGAATGTTGTAGCTCTTGTGAGTGAAAAGCTCACAAACTATAATAAGTAAAAGTAACAATAATCCGGCATATACAAAAACCTACAATTTAAAGAATAACAGGAGATCATTATGCACTAAAACATATATATTTAACTTCCTATCCAATGTTTACTCCTTTCTAGAATACTATGTGGAGGAAGAGTATATTTTTAGTAACTAATTCAACCAAAAGCAAATTCTAACTGTTGATCACAAACAAAAAAATGCCAACCTAGAGGAATCCAAAGGGCTATTTAGTCTCACACTCTCTTCCTGCTTTGATCAAGCAAGTCACTAAAGCAACAGCACCTTCTTGGTCATGTTCTACACTATCTAATATTCACAGACATTCTGTCTCTAATCACAAAGAGAAGAGAACAATCACCAGTATGCTGGGATAGATTCAATTACAGTGACAAAGGATGCAAAACTAGATCTCAAGGACCAGGTTGGGGACAGACCACACACCTGTGTGGCTTGCAATAGTTTACATTGACTTGGTGACACCTAATCAATTATAAGGCATAGCAGCAGGGGAATTGTCACTGTGACATAGTCATAAATCACCTTTTACTCTGTTTATTTTTCAAATTCTGTTTTCTAATTCAGTCTGGTGATTTCCACATATTACACGTAACCACTAATTTTGTGATGTTACACTGTCAGTACAACTTATATTTCAAATTCAAATTACTCTTATAAATTTTTTTTACTCAGCAAAAAATACATTCTATAAAACTTTTTAAAAAATCAAGTTTTTTGAGAATCAAATATACTTTCCAGTTTCTACTTGTACACACACTAGAATGACAGGTATTTAATAATTACACCCAGAACAACTCTACATTTTTTAAAATAAAAAGTGTCCAGGTCATTCAACTCAATCTAATAACCTGCAAGAAAATTTAAAACAAAATAAAAAGGAGGACAGTGAAATGTTAAGAGGATATATTAAAAAATTGTAAAATTATAAAATATATATATAAATTATATTTAAAAAACCCTCTCTGAATCACATCCAAATTTTATACATTGTAAAGACCTTGTAAGGGGTGGCAAATATTGGAAAGAAATATTGCATTAGAATAAAATGTTATGTTTGGCTGCATTGGGGGCTTGTTTTTAAGTTGAACAGAGAAAGGCATCCAATTTAAACTAACCCACAGCCAAAAATGTAAGACACTATTTGGAAAGTTTGACCAAATGGGGGAAAAAGGTCTTAATAAAGGTATAAATAGAGTAAGCCACTATGGAATAAAAATATTACAAGTGTTATCAAGTTATGCCATCTTTCCCAGATCAGAATTTTTGTCTTGAATACACAGCTAAAATTCCCAAAATCTAAGAAAATTTCACAGTAATATTAATCTAATAGGTATATATCAACAAAGTGCTGCTTTAAATTGGGCATTGGCATATTTACCTGAGAACGCCCTTTCTATACATGCTGCTAGAGAGTCTAGGAATGGGATATGACTCCTCCCTCTGATGTCATCGAGCTGAGTCTGCCACAGTATAAAAAGCCAGCCTCTGCTGCTAGCCCCAGCTTTTTTGGTGAAGAAACTTGACAGATATAGTGTGTCTCTGGAAGATAAAACAGTGAGAAGAACCCTTCCCAACCAAGACCAGATGAACACAGGGTGGGACTCTCTAGCAGCGTGTATAGAAAGGGCATCCTCAGGTAAATATACCAACGCCCATTCTCCTCCACGCTGCGACGGGAGTCCAGGAATGGGACATACAAAGCCTCCATGTCCAAGGAAGGGTCATCATCTGGTCTGTTCAGTCCAACACTGGGAGAACCTTCTGGAGCATCCTTCTCCCAAATGCTCCTTCTGCAAAGGCGAAGGAGTCCAGCCGACAGTGCCGGATAAATGGAGAGGGCAACACCCAGGTAGCAGCCCTGCAGATCTCCTCGATAAAACGCCTGGGTAGCCCAGGCAGTCGAGGTCGCTGCACTCCTAGTAGAGTGAGCTGTGAGCTTTTGGGGAACTGGAAGAGATAAAGTCTTGTAGGCAGTGGAAATACGTGCCCTGATCCATCTGCTCATCATGGATAAGGAAGCCTTACTTCCCAAGGAAGCCGGTTGGAAGGACATGAACATTACTTCTGTCTTGTGAAAGGTAGCAGTACGTTTAACATAGATACAGAGAACTCTCCGCACATCCAACATATGCCACTTGTGTTCCAACTCATGTTGAGGCCTAGGGCAGAAATCTGGTAGGACCATGTCTTATGCCCTGTGGAACCAAGAATTAATCTTTAGAACAAAAGAATGGTCTAAACATAAAACTACTCTGTTCTCGTGAAAGATGCACAAAACTTGCATCACTGAGAGAGCTGCCAACTCAGAAACCCTTCTGGCCAATGAAAGCCCACCTTGAGCGTCAAAAAATGTAGGCTCACCAATCTCAAATGTTCAAACGGGGGTCCTGTCAGGGCCTGGAGTACCTTCAGGAGATCCCAAGTGGGATATCTATGAACTACTGGGGGAATGAAGATTGAAGGCTCCCTTCAAAAATCTGCGAATTGATGGATAGTGGGACAAAGAAGAATTTTCCCATGACAACACTGATGACAAAGCCACCACCTGACGGTGGAGAGTGTTAGGCAAGTCCTTTATCTAGACCGTCCTGGAGGAACATCAGCACATCTACAACTGAAGCAGATGTAGGGTCCTGGGCCGCCTTCAAATACCA